AAGGCTCCATGCTTGGTGTGAAGCCCAGTGCAGGGCTTGAACTCACAGCCCTGAGATCAAAACCTGAGCTGAGATCAAGAGTCAGTTGCTTAACCAGCTGAGCCACCCAGGTGCCCCTAAAGATTGTTTTAAAGATTTTATTTATTTATTTGAGAGTGAGAGAGCATGAGCAGGGGGAAGGGCAGAAGGAGAGGGAGAAGCAGACTCCCCATGGAGCTGGGATCCTCGTGTGGGACTCAATCCCAGGACTCCGGGATCATGACCTGAGCTGAAGCCAGTTGCCCAACCAACTGAGCCACCCAGGTGCCCTAAGATTTTATTTTTAAGTAATCTCTATACCCAATGTTGGGCTCAAACTCATGACCCCAAGATTAAGAGTCACATGCTCCACCACCTGAGCCAGCTAGGCACCCCTAGATCAGCGCTTCTTAAATTTATGGACAATCAGAATCACCTAGAGAGCTAATTAAAATACAGATTCTAGGAGTGCCTGGGTGGCTCAATAGGTTGAGCCTTGCTTGTGTTCCCTCTCTCACTGTCTTTCTCTCTCTCTCTCAAGTAAATAAAAATCTTTTAAAAAGAAAATAAAATACAGATTCTAGGAGGCTTATCTTCTAACATTCTTTTTTTTTTTTAAGATTTTATTTATTTATTTGTCAGACAAAGAAAGAGAGCATAAGCAGGGGGAGCAGCAGGTAGAGGGAAAAGCAGGCTCCCCACCAAGCAGGGAGCCCAATGCAGGACTCAATCCCAGGACGCTGAGATAATGACCTGAGCCAAGGCAGACACTTAACCAACTGAGTCACCCAGGTGCCCCCTAATGTTCTTATCTGATAGGTCTCTGGACTGGCCCAAGAATTGGCCTTTCTTACAGTTCCGAGGTGATAATAACTCCTGTTGGTCTGAGCGACCCACACTGAGGAACACTGAGCTAAAAAAGTTGACAGAAAAAAATACAGCCTTTCTGAGTCATGAAACATTTATGAAAATTTACATTATAATATAAGGTGGGGCAACTGGGTGGCTCAGCCTTACACACCCACCTTCGGCTCAGGTCATAATCCCAGGGTCCTGGGATCCAGCCCCACATCGGGCTCCCTGCTTAGCAGGGAGCCTGCTTCTCCCTCTCCCACTTGCCCTGCTTGTGTTCCCTCTCTTGCCATCTCTCTCTCTCTGTCAAATAAATAAATAAAATTTTTTAAAAAAATGATAATATAAGGCAAAATGATAGTTATTTTATCATCAATCTAGTCTTTGTAGAATTGTTTGCTGAACTAGCTTCTTTAACCATAAACAAAATAAACTTTGAAAACTGTAATCCTAGGCTACCTGGCTGACTCAACTGGTAGAGCACATAATTCCTGATCTCAGGATTGTGGGCTTGGCCCCACACTGTGAGAAGAGATTACTTAGAAAATAAGATCTTAGGGCGCCTGGGTGGCTCAGTGGGTTAAAGCCTCTGCCTTCAGCTCAGGTCATGATCCCAGGGTCCTGGGATCGAGGCCCGCATCAGGCTCTCTGCTCAGCGGGGAGCCTGCATCCTCCTCTCTCTCTGCCTGCCTGTCTGCCTACTTGTGATCTCTCTCTCTCTCTGTCAAATAAATAAATAAAATCTTTTAAAAAAAAAAAAGAAAAGAAAAGAAAATAAGATCTTAAAAAAGAAAAAGAAAAAGGAAACTGTAATCCTTATTTAATGCCATTCAGTCCATGAGTCTTTCCGGCAAAGATTCTATCTGAGAAGTTTCTTCTGTGCTGAGGTTTACCAAATCTGTGAGACAACCTGGACCCAGCTGAGGTCTTGATTAGATTAACGGGATCCGCCACACTGTCTCTGGGAAGGCAGCTCAAACTGTCTCTGGTAGGAAATAGCCATCTTGTAGAGCCTCTTGTGGGCTTTCATATATAATTTCTAACATTCAATCAAAAATTACTAAGTATGGTGATGCCTGGCTGGCTCAGTTGGTAGAGCACGTGACTCTTGATGTCAGGGTTGTGAGTTCAAGCACCATGTTGGGCATAGAGCTTATCTAAAGAAAAAAAAAAATGTGGGGGGCACCTGGATGGCTCAGTCGATTAAGTGTCTACCTTCAACTCAGGTCATGATCCCAGGGTCCTGGAATTGAGTTCCATGTTGGGCTCCCTGCTCAGCAAGGGATCTGCTTCTCACTCTCCCTCTGACCTACCCCCTGTCACTCTCACTCTCTTCCAAATTAATAAATTTAAAAAAAAATTTTTTTAATTACTAAGTATGTGAGAGACAGGAATATATGACTAATAATCCAATGGAAAAAATATACACTAGAAATAGGTCCGTAGATGATATAGACCTTGGAATTAAAAGATAAGGACTTACTGTATATATTTATTTATTTACTTTTGAAACCATGCAACATTGGCTTTTATTACGCATGGGTTTTTTAAATTATTTCCTCAATCCCTCCATACACTGGCAAAAGTAAGTATACTGTTGAAATTATTGGAACTTCATTTTTTTAAAGATTTTATTTATTTATTTGACAGAGAGACAGAGAGACTGAGAGACCATGAGCAGAGGCAGCAGGAGAGGGAGAGGGAGAAGCAGGCTTCCCGCTGAGCAGGGAGCCCGATACGGGGCTCAATCCCAGGAGCCTGGGATCATGACTTGAGCTGAAGGCAGAGGCTTTAACCCACTGCGCCACCCAGGTGCCCCATAAGACAAGGACTTTTAAAGATTTTATTTATTTGATAGAGACACATCGAAAGAGGGAACACAGCAGGGGGAGTGGGAGAGAGAGAAGGAGGCTTCCTGACAAGCAGAGAGCCAGATGCAGGGCTCGATCCCAGGACCCGGGGACCATGACCAGAGCCAAAGGCAGACGCTTAATGACTGAGCCACCCATGTGCCCCAACAAGGACTTTTAAATAATTATTATTAATATGTTCAGAAAATAAGGGCGCCTAGGTGGCTCAGTCATTTAAGCATCTGACTCTTGAATTTGGTTCAGGTCATGATCTCAGGCTTGTTAGACTGAGCCCAAGTTGGGCTCTTCCATGGGCGTGGAGCCACCTGCTTAAGATTCTCTCTCTCTCCTTCTACCCCTCCTTGCCTCACTCCCTAAATATATATATATATATATATTTTTTTCTGTTCAGAAAGTAGAGGAAAAGATGCACAAATGGATGAAAATGGAGAATTTCAACAGCAAATAAGAACAAAATATCAAACAGTTATCTCATAAGAAAAAAAAATCAGGGGCACCTGGGTGGCTCAGGGGGTTAAACCTCTGCCTTCGGCTCAGGTCATGATCTCAGGGTCCTGGGATCAAGCCCCACATCAGGCTCTCTGCTCAGCAAGGAGCCTGCTTCCCCTTCTCTCTCTCTCTCTGCCTGCCTCGCTGCCTACTTGTGATCTCTCTCTCTCTGTCAAATAAATAAATAAAATCTTTCAAAAAAAATCAAATTGACGCTGATAATAGGAAAGCAGTGGATGAGTTTTAACAGAAGGACTACAGCGGAGATGGGACAGTGCACTGAAAGACAATTACTTTCTCTTTGGGGGAGGAATAAGGCAATTGGAGAATATTCTTAAATGCCTCCCCACCTCTCCTCCCACCCCTACCCACCCTCATCTCCCTCCCTGCCTGATAATTCCCGTAATTATGTTTTAGAAGTGGTTCCCATGGCTTTTTTGTTGCTGTTGTTGTTTTTATTTAAAATATTTTTAGGGGCGCCTGGGTGGCTCAGTGGGTTAAAGCCTCTGCCTTCAGCTCAGGTCGTGATCTCAGGGTCTTGGGATCGAGCCCCGCGTCAGGCTCTCTGCTAGGCAGGGAGCCTGCTTTCTCCTCTCTCTGCCTCCATCTCTGCCTACTTGTGATCTCTGCCAAATAAATAAATAAAATCTTAAAAAAAAAAAATAAAATATTTTTAGGTTTACAAAAGAGTTGTAAAGTTGTAACAGTAAAAAGAGTCCCTGAGGGCACCAGGGTGGCTCAGTGGGTTAAGCCTCTGCCTTCGGCTCAGGTCATGACCTCAGGGTCCTGGGATCGAGCCCCAAATCGGGCTCTCTGCTCAGCGGGGAGCCTGCTTCCCTTCCTCTCTCTCTGCCTGCCTCTCTGCCTACCTGTGATCTCTGTCTGTCAAATAAATACATAAAATCTTAAAAAAAAAAAAAAAGAGTCCCTTAAAAGCTTCACCCCGTTTCCTCTAAGGGGAGAATTTTTTTTTCTAGGATTTTATTTACTTATTTAAAGATAGATAGAGGGAGAGACAGAACCTACAGTGAGGGGGTGAGGGAGAAGGGAGGAGCAGAGGGAGAGGAACAGGCAGACTCCCTGCTGAGCGTGGAGCCCCAGCTGGGGCTCGATCTCATGACTCTCGAGGTCATGACCTGAGCCGAAATCAAGAGTCTGATGCTCAACTGACTGAGCCACCCAGGTGCCCCTCAGGGAGATTTTTTTTTTTTTTAAACAAGTATTGTATCCTTGGGCAAGTGGAACAATTCTAGGTTTTTATTTTTTCACATATAAAATAAAAAGATTGGACTATTCTCCCTAAGATCCCTTGAGGCTCCAACATTCTATGAGTCTAAATCTCAGATATATTTTAAATATTTTTTTAAAGATTTTATTTATTTATTTGTCAGAGAGAGAGAGAGAGAGCACAAGCAGGCAGAGTGGCAGGCAGAGGCAGAGAGAGAAGCAGGCTCCCCGCTGAGCAAGGAGCCTGCCGTGGGACTCGATCCCAGAACTCTGGGATCATGACCCGAGCGGAAGGCAACGGCTTAACCGTCTGAGCCACCCAGGCATCCCAGATATATTTTAAATCTTGCCTAGCCGTCCCCAAAAGATAATAAAGACTATGATAAACAGTTGACATGTACAAGCTATGACTATGTGCCTATCACCTTCTGTACACTGCCTGTCATTTAATCCTCACAGAGCTGCATTTACCAGGAACCTCGTAGGTTCTGTTATGCGCTTGAGAAGCCATCAATCAGTCCTGTTGGGACGTCCTTTGAAGAAATGAAGAAACTGTTCGCACAGCAGTTAAAAGTCCCTGTCTGCAAGTCCTACGGCTCTCTGTGCAGCAGAAAAGAAACCGGGTAAATGTGTAGAGATTACTTAGAAATACAGAAGTAAAAAGAAGCGGGGTGAACTCAATCGACCCAACCTTAATGAGCATTTGCCTGGGGAGGTGGGAGTGGAGAGAGAAGGGGGAGGAAACAGGAGGAGGAATCGGAGTAGTCCTGGTGGAGGAGAAAGGGCCCTGGATTTGGAGTAGACATTCCCAATTTGAGCTTTGTGATTTCAGGCAATTCACTTAAATGCTCTAAATATCAGTTTCTACAGCCTCCAAATAGGAAAAAAACCCATAATAGTAACTGCTATGGACTCAGTGTTCACGTTCCCCAGGCCAAATTCACAAGTCCAAACCTAATCCCCAGCGGGAGGATATTTGGAGGTAATTAGGGTTGGATGAGGTCCTGAGGGTAGAGCCTCCCATAATAGGATTAAGGACCCTTTGAAAAGGAAAAACACAAGAGCTCTTTTTTGCCACCTGATCATACAGCAAGAAGGCACCCCTCTGCAAACTAGATAGAAGGATCTCACCAAGAACTGAGTGAGTCGGCACCTTGATCTTGGACTTGCCAGCCCTCAGAGCTGTGAAAGATCAGTTTCTGTATTTAAGCCACCAAGTCTATGATATTTTGTTATACGTTCCAAGCTGACTGCAATAGTTAACATACAGGACATACTATGCATCTGGCTTGTTCTTCATTCCATAAATATCTTTTGCAGACCTCTCTATGTTCCCAGGCGCCTGGGTGGCTCAGCCGGTTAAGCATCTGCCTTAGGCTCAGGTCATGATCTCAGGGTCCTGAGGTGGAGCCCTCTGTCGGGCTTTCTGCTCAGCAGGGAGTCTGCTTCTCCCTCTCCCTCTGTGTTCTCTCTCTCTCTCTCAAATAAATAAATAAAACCTTTTTAAAAAACTAAAACAAAAACCAAAAAAACCTCTGTGTCTAGCACTGTCCTAAATACTCTAGACACTCAGCAAACAAAACAAAGATCCTTTCTTTCTAAAGTTTGTGGTCTAGGGGCACCTGGATGGCTCAGTCCGTTAAACATCCACCTTCGGCTCAGATCGTGTTCCTAGGATCCTGGGATCGAGCCCCACATCCAGCTCCCTGCTTTCAGGGAGACTACTTCTCCCTCTTCTCTCCACTTGTGCTCTCTCTTGCTCTCTCTCTCTCAAATAAATAAAATCTTTAAAATTTGTGGTCTAATTTGGAGAGACAGAGACAATAAACAAACTGTTAGTCTCTACAAAAACCATATACAAAAACCACATAGCATAAGTCCTGGTATGATTCCCATTTTTAATTTTTTTTAAATAATCTCTACATGGGGCACCTGGGTGGCTCAGTGGGTTAAAGCCTCTGCCTTCAGCTCAGGTCGTGATCTCAGGGTCCTGGGATCGAGCTCCGCATCGGGCTCTCTGCTCAGCGGGGAACCTGCTTCCCCCCACCCCTCTCTGCCTGCCTCTCTGACTACTTGTGATCTCTATCAAATAAATAAATAAAATCTTTAAAAATAATAATAATCTCTACCCCCAACTCACAGCTTGAACCCACAACCCTGAGAGCAAGAGTCTCATATTCCACTGACTGAGCTAGCGACGTGCCCCAGTGATCCCCATTTTTTTTAAAGATTTTATTTATTTATTTGACACAGAGAGAGAGAGAGAGAGATCACGAGCAGGCAGAGAAGCAGGCAGAGAGCAGGGGGGGAGGGGGAGCAGGCTCCCTGCTGAGCAGAGAGCCTGATGTGGGGCTCGATCCCAGGATCCTGAGATCATGACCTGAGCTGAAGGCTGAGGCTTAACCCACTGAGCCACCCATACGCCCCGTGATCCCCATTTTTAAAATGAGGAATCTGGGGGCACCTGGGTGGCTCAGTCAGTGAGTGTCCCACTCAGCCTCTGCTCAGGCCTTGATCTTAGGTTGGTGAGTTCAAGTCCCACACTGGGTTCCATGCAGGGCATGGAGCCTAGTTAAAAATAAATAAAAATAAAATAAAATTAAATTAAAATAAAATAAAATAAAATAAAATGAGGAATCTGAAGGGAGCCTGAGTGTCTCCGTCAGTTGAGCATCTGACTCTTGGTTTCAGCTCAGGTCATGGTCTCGGGGTCCTTGGGTCGAGCCCTGGGAGGGGCTCTGCCCTCAGTGGCGAGTCTGCTTGAGGATTCTCCTTCTCCCTCTGCACTCAGCTGATCACTCATGCACGCTCTCTCTTTCTAAAGTAAATAAATGAATATTTATTTGTTTGTTTATTTTTAAAAGATTGTATTTATTTATTTGACAGAGAGACACAGTGAGAGAGGGAATACAAGCAGGGGAAGTGGGAGAGGGAGAAGCAAGCTTCCTGCCAGGCAGGGAGCCCGATGAGGGGCTGGATCCCAGGACCCTGGGATCATGACCTGAGCCGAAGTCAGACGCTTAACGACTGAACGCCAGCAGAGCGCGATCCGGATGAAGGCGTTGGGCTCCAGAGGCCCCACACTGTACCTCTATGCTATTCTGGTCTCTCCAGTAACAGCCTCTTGTGGGAATCCAATGAGAGAAAGTGTGTGAAATTGCTTTATAAACATTGGAGCTGATGATATTGGCTGGCCAAGGTCTGCAGAGACCACAACAGGTGGTGGGAAAGTGCCCTCCAGTCTCCCACCAGGTGCCACGAGGCCAGTGCCTCTTCCTCGATCACCCTTCGCCTTGGGGTTCCCCTGGATGTCTCTGATGTGAGTGGTGGGGAAGCTGGGGGACAAGCAAAATGATGAATTTGGTTCCCTTTCCGGTGCCTCAGATGCCCTGCAGAGACACAGCTCGGAACACTACCTTGGATTTGGGAACATGACTAAAGCTGATGAGTCACACGCCGGGCCGGCCTCCTCCAGACACCAGCATCCATGGCCCAGGGAGAGGCGGGAGAACGTATCCCTGCCCGCCTGCACCTGGGGGTGAGGGCTGGGGGGCTGGGGGAGCTAGGACTTCCCTGCAGACGGCACAGGGCACAGACGTTCGCTGCTTGATGAAGGCACGCCACAGTCCCCACCGACCCTCACACTCACACCCCCACGTGCACAGAAGAGGCTCCTGCCTCAGAGAGGGGCTTGTCAGGCCTTACAAGAGGGCACGCCATAGTTCTTGGCTGACTGAATGTGCCTAAGTGGAAGGATAAATAACAGATCACATTTGCAAAGCACATTACAGCTGACAAAGCGTTGTCACTTACATCAGGGCGAATGACAAGGTGGGTGTCAGAGTATCCTAATTATATTAATGAGAAGTCTGAAGCTCAGAGAATTACTGTCAATTTTCAAGGTCTCACAGCTGATCAAGGGCATTTACTGAATGAATGAGTGAAGGAGGGAGGGAGGAAATGAATGAATGAATGAGTCAGTAAGCCAGGACCTGAAGGATGTTGCCTTCCCTGAATCCGACACTGTTTCTACCATATGTCATACTATTGTCCTCAGCCAGAGTTCAACATTCTCCTCTGAGGAGTTGAAGTTGAAAGCATTGTGAGAACAAGACTGTACAGAAATGTCTCCTAGAGGGCTGATGTCACCTTCTTGGCTGATGGGTTTCAGTGGACAGTGGCCTGTCCTCCAATCCCACCAAGTCCTTGCTCTCACAGCCCTCCCAGACCACACCAGGCTGCTAGGTTGTAACATACCTCCTTATTGGCCCATTCCCCTTCACCTGTGAGCATGGAGCTTTATTCACCCCTGTGGCCCGGCCCCTGGCATCAACCAGGAGATGAGTGAAAAAATGGATGAGATGTGCAGCAGATCTTCTTTCCCTATGTTCTTCAAAACAAGGAAACAGCCATAGCCTGACCCCCAGGATTCTGTCCAATGGTTTGGCGGCAAGGGATTGTGCAGGGCTAGCTCTGAAAATTCATAATTTCTCTCTCTCTCTCTCTCTCCCACTCCCTCTCTCCCTCCCTTAGAAAACCCTCCAATATTTAGAAAGCTAAATATCCACAGGGCAATTTCACCTCCCAGGGAGCAAAAGGGGACAAGCGCATCCCAGCTGCTCCAACCAGGACAGCCCCAAAGAGCTAGATTTTCTTTCTCCCTCAAAAGGGTCCAATAGCATGCTTCCACCCACGTCTTGGCTCTCCCACACCCCCTTTTCTGCCTCCCTGCAGACAGCCGATGCTGCCATCCTCCCACCCAGCCCTCTGCTATCAGAGCTCTGAACACCCAAAAAGGAAAAACGATTGTGCTGAGCGAAGACAGAGCCGGGGAGGAAGGGAAGGGCTGTTTGCTGCCAGCTGACATTCTGCAGACTGGCTGCCTGTGCCTGTGCCAAGGGCGTGGTCACCAGCAAAATCTGAGAGAGATGGGAGGGAGAGAAAGAAAATGTCCTGATCACCATGGCACATCCCGAGTCGTATCTTAAAGTCTTATCTCCAACTGGACTGAATTGGCCTCCGCAAGAGGGAGGACGAGATCAAAAGCTTAGAGATGACCGAGAACCACAGGAGGTCACACGTTCATGCCATGAACATTTCCTGGGCACACTACGTGCTGAGCAACACACGCAGCACAAGATGTGACAGACAGCATACCTGCTCCTGGGAGACCTCACGTTGGAGTGGGAGCCATAGGCGAGTCAGCAGGTGACCGTAGTGCAAGCAGTGGTCAGCCCTGGACACAGGAAGAGGTCAGAGGAGGGACACTTCACCCAGATTCCAGAGTGAAGGGGAGGCAGAGAGTCTGCCTGAAGAAGGTGACATTCAATACGCTGAGTCGTGAAGAGAAGGAGGAATGAGATCAGTGAAAACGGGGAGAGGCATTCCGAGGCAGCAGGAATAGGCACCATGATTTGGTAAAGGGCGAGGAAGAGGAGTGGTCAGAGGATGAGAGCTCTGGTCACACATTCGAAGGAGTTGGGATGTTATTTTAAAGACAGCTGGGCTTTAGGGGCACGTGGGTGGCTCAGTGAGAAGAACATGCGACTCTTCATCTCAGGGTCATGAGTTCCAGCCCCACATTGGGGGTAGAGATTACTTAATTACAAATTTTTTTAATAAT